AGAGTTTTGGAAACTTGTACATTTTATCATGGTACTGACATCATTGCTGTGTTTTTTTTTCCTTTTGAACATGCACGCGCTTTTTCAATAGAGTTTGTTTTTTTAACACACATCAGCCCATACAATTCCAGGCAGCGGATCTGTGTGGAGGAAGGTTTGGATTAAGCTGATTACACCAGGGGAACAGGGCAGGCGAAAGTGATTGCAGGCATTAAAAAGCAACTCGTAGAAAATATCTACTGAATCGTTCCCAGCTCATACACGCAAATACTGAAATACCTATGAATCGGGACTAGCCAAACCAGAGGATTGACAGGGAGACTTCAAAATGCAGGCAGCACAGTGGTGGAGTGGTTGCAAAGCTGGGGCTGTGGGCTCCATTCTGGAGCTGGGATGCTATCTGTGTGGAGTTTGCATGTTCATTCCGTTTCTGCATGCCTTTCCTCCCACAGTCCATATATGGACTTCCTACCCAGGCATGCAGTAGGAAGCTGGTACTGTAGCAGGCCTGCATAACTCAGCACCACCCCTTTGCGACTGCACTAATGAATGAAGGGGGGTTTCAGTATGATATTTACTTAGAAATGTCAAGGCATCTAACAGAGGCCACCTTTTGACACAGGTTATGTGTGGGACATATTCAAGGGTGGAATGGGCTCGTGTTTGAGGTGATGAGGGGGTATTACTCCCCCCACGCAAACACGCTCTAAGTTTTTTTAAAATCTTCTCGCGTGGTGACGTCACCGGATTTAATTATCCTCCTGTGTAATTTGCACAAGGGGGCGGATTGTAATGGTTTAATGGAAGGGAAAAGGGACAAGAAGAAGACCACCTGTGTCCCAGCACATGCGTTAAGTCTGAATTTGAAGCGCGTTTCAGGAAAGGGGCTGTGAGAGAACGTTAAGGACGTTGTTTCCTTTATTTCCTGCAAAGACCCCCAGCCTCTCGCCGCGCCGAGACGCGACAGCTTCGGACCCCCGCGGGGGAGACCTTCCAGGCTGGACCGACGCCCACCGGGGGAGTGGGCAGACACTGAGTTCGCCCAAGGGAGAAATGGCTCCTTTTCTGAAACAAACAACAAGAAAGGAGAATTCTCTGTCACCACCGCTCCGCCCCGGTTGATTCTCTTCATGTTTGTTTTCTGAGCGCGTGTTACGGAGATCAATTTCTACCCCCAACGAGCACACATAGCACCCCTCCTGCTGACGGAGACTTGCAGCCTCCGCTCTGCCCGAGGCCTGGGTGCATTTTCATGCACAGCAGCCCGATATATATACGACTGCAAGCGGATGATCCCGTTTTAAAAGTACACCAATTCGAGATGGTTTCAATTAAATGCGCGGAAGTGACATTAGTCATGCGTAGTTCCCATCAACGATGTACTGTATAGCATCTACACTCTTGTTAAAACTATACAGCATCAGCCTTCTAGCCGTGAGGAGAGTGGCTGGGGGGGTTATTTTGGGGTTGTGGCCCCAGGTGACCCCTGACCCTGACAGAGACAGCTCTAACAAAGCGCTTGTCATTTGGATGCTTGTAACCGTGGGTTACTAATACTAAACCCTTTGTCTTAGAACCTGTCATAAGGTGTCTTCATGTCGACAGGATAGGATAGTTGGAAGGGAAGATAGGCAGAAGAGGGAGCTCATTTTTCTGGAGTTCCTCCCCAATCTGTTTTTAAAAAGAATTTAAAATCAAGATCCTTTGTGTATAGCATTTACTGTATGGTGCTCTTTTGTGCAGCATTAAAATTAACGCAGCCTGGGTGTTCCCTCCCTGTCTGTACAGCTGGTAACAATCGCATCCTTCTGCGTTGGCCTCTGTGATGTAAAACCTCCGATACTGCTTCTGCTGTGTTTGTGCCTGCTCCCTTCTGTGCTCGTCTTTTTGTTGCATACACAGCAGGACATTGTAAGATCAGAGGACTTTGCATATATAGTGTATACAGAATGTATGTCCTGATTCCGATAAAGTATTCAGAGCAACGGCCTAGCGCTGTTTCACAAGGATTAACAACACCGATGAATTAAGAGTACTGAATGGATTGTGGAGTGTTTTAGTCAACATTTTGGCTTAACCCACTTGGCTGAGGGCCAACCTCCTGGCCGGAGGACGAGGAGGCTGGGAGCCCCCTGCAGAGTGAGGGGTGACCCAGGGGCAGCTGCAGAGGGGGAGGTGGGGTGGAGGTGAGATGCAGAAAGACTTTCGTGAGGGAGAGAAGGGGGTCCCGTCCAGTATTTATAGTGTTTAGGAGAGGAAATGATGTCAGGGGTGATTGCTAATTACGGAGAGCCGAGTCAGACGGAACCTCCCTCCCGAACGTTCACAGAACCGCAGGTGAACAAGGGGTGGGAGAGCCGTGGGGTGCACACTGCCGGCCAGAAGGAATAGGGCAGGGGGGTCTGGAAGAGAGGCGAGATACAGTACTCCTGTGGATTCGGGGTTCAACCTGCGTGACTCCTGCCTCCTGCATCCTCTTGGGCTTCTGCCGTGCAGAGAGACGTGCAAACCTTTCCTGGGCAAGTGCAAAACTGTGCACGACCTCGGGACAAAGTGGTGCGGAGGATTTATTTCTGTTTGCCCGGGGAATTGGAAAGGTCCATCCAAGCAATTTGCTGCGGAAACGCCCCTCAAACCAGTCTCTCTTTTGGTATGGGAGTACTGTGCCCTTCCTGTTGCCCATTCCCTGCCCATCTCCAGTTGTCCTGCCTGTGCCCAGGACTGGAGCTAGGAATGCAGGATAAAGCACGTCTCTCTTTGCAAGTGATTAGAAAAATCTCCAAAGAAAGGAAAGGGAAACACTGCCGAACTCCTCACTTAGAGCATGCTTGAATGAATTCATTTCCAAGCTTAATGTCCTTTAACAGCATCCTCCGAATCAATCAGGGCTTAATGGCCCTCTTTGTCTATAACTCCTGGGGGTCTGGAATGTCGGAGCGAGGCTCAGAATGACAGGCCCTGAGCTCCAAGGTCACGACCTGTTTTTGTGAGCTCCCCGGCGACGCTGGGAATGAAGATGGATGGCGCACAGAGACGACCCTCCGGGTGACTCGTGCATCGGCTGGCTCTCTCTCTCGGCACTGGCCAAGGTGAACGGCTCGGGCTGTCCTTTCCCTGTTTTCACTAGGATGTCATCTCAAACAGCCCCTCATCTGTCCGCAGAGATAAGCCTGATGGGCGCTGCTAGCATGACGCCCAGGAACGGCAGAGCCTGTTCTCTCCAGTGCTGTTCAAACCAAATGTAACAGAGTTGATCCGATCAGTCCTTTGCTTTTTAGAAGATCCAGATTGTGTTTTTGTTTCTGGCACGCGTGCATGCAAAGATATGCAGAATGTAGGCTTTAAAACTAATAATGGTAGTTCCTTACCCTTATATACTGTAGCACTTTTCTAAGCACTTCACTCAAAGCCCTTTACAGACAATGGGGATCCCCTCCACCACCTCCAGTGTGCAGCCCCACCTGGATGATGCACCAGTACTCTCCCCACACACCAGCTCTCAGTGGGGAGGAGAGCAGAGTGATGAAGCCAGTTCAGAGATGGGGATTATTAGGAGGCCGTGATTGGTAAAGGCCAGGGGGAAATCTTGCCAACTCCCTGGGATTTTTAGTGACCATGGAGAGTCGGGACCCCAGTTCTACGGCACCTTTTTACAGTATAGTGTCCACATCAGTAAAGGACCCGCACAGACTGCAGGGTGAGCGCCCCCTACTGGCCTCTCTAACACCTCTTCCAGCAGCAGCCTTAGTTTCTCCCAGCAGGTCTCCCATCCAGGTACTGACCAGGCTCACACCTGCGGGGCTTCAGAGGGTCACCAGCTGGGAGCTGCAGGGTGACATGGCTGCTGGCTGCATGACTGCACGATGCACGTTTGATAAAATCACCCCTCCTAGAGAGGCACAATCCTCATTCAACTGTGTCTTCTGTTGCTGCCCCTGGTGACAGAAGTCACTTCCAAACTGAGGGCTTAGAGATAGAAAACTGGCTGGACTGCCGATTCTATAAGAGAAACAAGCGAGAGAGTTGAGACTGATACTGAACTAGAGCTGCCAATTTGCCTCCCAGAATGCCTAGGAAATCCCTGACGCTTGTGGGGCTTCTCAGTGCCCCAGTGAGAGCAATTAAAACCAGCCCACAGTTCATCCGGGCACTGAAATCCGGGGGGTATCCAGTAACTCTATCTTATAATTACAGGGGGAACAGCAGATCGGTTTCGACACACAGATGGATGGAGTGCTCCCTTGACACCTGGAACAAACAGCCTTTTCCTTCCTGGGGCACAGCCTGAAGTGACCCTTCGCCACTTTAAGATGGATTTCCTGGGCGGCTGTTGATCCCTCTTCCTTCTTCCCAGGACACCTGGCTTGACTACAGCACAGCAAACAGGATGTGCAGACTTCAAGAATAACGGTCTAATGAAGGGAGGTTTTTTTGTGCTTTTTTAAAAGATGAGGGTCTGAGGATTATCTGGTTTAAACCTAAACAGATCGATTAGGGTTTTTTAAGGTAGGCAGACTCCACAAACATACTGTAGTATGTTTTTGCAGTTTCATTTGGGAAGCTTTGATGAAACGAGAGAGCGCATAATGGGTAAGTGCTGCATTTGAGAAGCAGAGGTTCAGAAAGAAAGGATGCTAAGAACATGAGAAAGTTTACACATGAGAGGAGGCCATTCGGTGCAGAATGGCTTGGCAGTTAGTAGCTAATTGGTCCAAAGATCTCACCAAGCCATTTCTTGAAGGAAGCCAGTCTATTGGCTTCATCAGCATGGCTGGCGAGTTTGTTCCATACCCCTACCACCCTTTGCGCAAGGACGTGCCTCCTGTTTTCGGCTCTAAATGCCCTTTTACTAAAGAGCTCCAGAGAATGATCCGGGCTACACAATCGACACTATTGTCCAATCGCTGCTGAGTCTGCGCTACTGGGCGGGGCTAGGAGGCGGTGCCTGTGACGTATGAGAAGGCGAGAGGGCAGGAAAAGGGGCGGGGAATCTCACTGCGCTTCCGGCTTCCCTCCCCCGCCCCCGGCGCTCGCGGGGTTTCTGCGGTACCAGCCGAGCCCTGAAAAAAGCGTGTGGTCCTGTGTAACAAAATTGACGATTCTGTTTTTTCAAAGAACATACTTCCCTAATGACCTATTAAAGAAGCATGTATGGTTGTTGGAGAGGTAAGGAAAAGGTTAAGCTGAGGTGTTTCCCAATTTAGGGCCGAGAATCTGGAATATTAATTGAGTTGTTTTGTTGAGTTGAGTTGTTTTCCGCTAATGAAATATAAAATAAAATTTCATTTTGCAGTCTGACTTGGGGGGATATAATACTTCGGCTCTTTTGGCGATGAAGAGCGCCGGAAGAGAGGAAAGGACGCCCATCTTGGGATCGGCTTCGCGTCGTTCAGGTAAATTCAGGAAAAACGTTTCTTCGGCCGAGAAACCGACCGTTACAGCGCTCCTTGCGCGCGCGAGCGGCTCGCGACCGAGTGTGACGTTGAGTGTGACGTGTCGCCCGTCCGTTCCTCGTGCAACCCGCGGCGTTAAAGCCCTGCGCTTTACTGGCATCAAATAACAGTTTTGCGGGGGGGGGTGCAAGGAGTGGAAAATTCCGTGTCTGTGGAATTCTCCAGGGAGCGGGAGAAAACAAAACGAGTAGACTTGCCTTACTCTTTTATTGGATATTCCAGGCCGGGGCCTGGAAGTGCAGCTCCGACTGCCCCAGGGCAACGTTACTGCAGTGGAACAGGAAATGACCGTTTTAAGGGTCTTCACATACATCCCCAAATCCCCTGAGCACTGTGATCTCATTCGCCGATGAATCCAGCTTTGGTCTTGGCCTGCTCAATTATGAACATGAATATTGAAATAAATCTACCATCGGTCTTATCCTCACTCTGCACTGGGACTGTGAAGCGCCGGACGGCTGGAGCCCTGTCCAGTAATGAGCCAGAGATTCTGTACCTTGCAGGACGGTTTCTGGTGGACGTCAAGGAGAAAGACGCCGTTCTGTTCTCCCTTTAAAGAGCAGAAACCAAAAATGGGTTTTGCAACCAAACAAGGCCACTGGGGTGTAGGTTAATAATAATAATGTTTCTTTATTAGCCCTATACAATTTCTTGCATTAGGAATTCGTCTTTTCGCATACCCCAGCTTTTCTCCATGGAGACACAGACACACAGACAGGGAGAGAAGCTGGGGGTCAGAGCGCAGGGTCTGCCATTGTAAGGCACCCCTGGAGCAGTTGGGGTGAAGGGCCTTGCTCAGGGGCCCAACAGAGTAGGATTCCTCTGCCGGTGAAGAGACAGCAGTGAACACTGGGTCTGGGGGGTGGGCTCCAGTCCCCCAGGGGAGACGCCACCAGCCGCTGAGGGCTCTTAGCCAGGTTTGGAACCCCTAGGAACGAATCGGGTCTAAACGAGTCAGAAAAGGAAAATGCTGCTGGTTGAAGCCATTCTGTATGGGAGCTCCTCCTCCTGGACGGAATATTGATTTCTTCCCAAAAAAAAGGTGATTTGCTAAAAGCATTAGAAGCCAAATTTGCCGTTTTTAATGTGCATACTTTTATTATTCAAGTGCATCATAAAACGTTCAAGGAAGGATTATCGTTGCCCAAAGGCACTGGGCGTTGAGCGTGGCTTTTCTGAGCCCTCTGTCCCTTGAAGGACCGCGTACAGAGGCGCACAGCTCACACCTCTCCTAATAGGTGCCGTACAGTCTGGTCTTTGAAGATTAGCTCGGCGGATTGAAAGAACGCCTCGGTTCTTTTGTCATCAGCCAGGAGCATTTAATAATTAAATGGCGGGGGGTTCTTTCTTTGAAACGAAGAGACAAAATTAGATCTGAAAACGCTGGCGCGAGCCATCATCTCTATGTGAATAAAAGACGCCACCATCAAAGCCGCAAAAGACTGTCTCAATTATATATGAACCCTTGAAGCCAGGCTGTGATGTGCCTAACAGTAGAAAGTATAAATTGCACAGTGGCAGTGGAAGGCTTGTCAGAAAGCAGCTCTCGGCAAGGGGCAGCAGTCAGGTTTAACTCGAGCTACACATTTCAGAGCACGCATGTTTGCAGATTTGCTCTTATCCTTTTCCCCTTGTTTTAGTGCCCGAGTTCCCTTGGACTGGCTGACGTCCTGGGAGTTCTCCAAAGTATCACACAGGGTTTTCGGATCCATGGGGGCCTGCAGGAAGAGTGCAGGTGATTAAAGACAGGGGTCAGTTAAGTCTTTTGACTTGAGTTTCGATTAAACCAGACAGGCTTTATTCTCGCAGCTCACTGGGAGAGATGGGATTGCTGCTGACGGATTGTGGGGTCTGGGTGTTAACTGAAGTTCCAAGGAGGAATTTCACCAGCCAACTCCGAGTACCCGATCGGGTAGTTCGGAGACCGGGAGTTTTCAATAGTACAGGAAGCAGCAGTGGATGCCGAAAAATGCATTGCTGGGGCATAGGCGTTGGTGATAAAAATATGATTAAATTTATAAGATTAAATCTAGGTATAAAAGTTATGTTGTATAATAATCACAGATTTAATAACTGGATTTCAAATTAGAACAACTGACCTTTTGTTTTTTAATTTAAAATATATATTTTTTAACGGCTCATAATAATAGATCTAATTAAGTACACACAGGTGCCTCACATGCTATGATGCTTTAACGTTTTCCAGTAAAGCAGGACAATATATTTGCAGAATGTGGGGTCTGTTAATCTGTGAAAATATCTTGCATGGGTGGATGTTCAGCAAGTTCTCTTGTCACTCAATCCACCAGGGAGTGCACTTTGAGATTCGGCTTGGTGGACAATAGTAGGTATCCTGAGGAATTAGACACAGTGCTTCAGCTAGAGGGCTGATCAGAAGTGCATACAGTGGTACTGGCAGTGTGCCTGGCACACACACATGTACTGTGCTTGTGCTTTACATTGCAGCTAATTTAGGTAGAGGCAGAATGCTACCTTAAAACCATGACTGACAGTCTAGGGGTCCTGCAGTTGTGTGGCTCTTGCATGGGTCTTGGCTAGAAAAGGTTGCACTGGGCCTGATCCAAGCAAACACACCAGCCCCTGCCCCCCCACTGCCTGGCACCAGCTGGCTGCTATTCACTCTCGAATGCCCCCCAGGGTTGTGAAAATGTATAGAGTCTGGGCCAATATTATATTACCGTGAATGTGCTCACTGTGCTGCCAAGAGCAGAGCAGAGAGAAATCAGGGCACTGAGTCAGATCCCCAGCATTTCTGAACCATTTCTTAGCCACAACGAGCCTTGTGTTCTTGTTGTCCATGTGGACCGTTTTCAAGGACTTTGCAGGTTGCAAATAAGCACACTTGTCATCAGGGGCCCGGCGGGGTCTTGCCTGGCCTTCAGAGTCTCGGAGCCAGATCTTGACACCAGAAGAGGAAAAAGGCTGGCTAGCGAGTGATCTGAGCTCCACAGTCATGTGGCGGTGTGGCTGAGTGAGCAAAGCCTTTATTCTGCTCTGATAGCAATGCACGTGAAAGGTTTCAGACCCAAGAAAGTTGTGAGGCCGAACTTTGAACCTTAGCTCAGCCCATATGGACAACATTTAACCATTGACACATTAATGTTTTGAATCTCGGTTTTCAGTTGCACGTATGCAAACTTATGGGCTTCAAAATAATTGTATGGTTATGCTCGCTGGGAAACAGGAAACGGGATTTCAATCCTAATGGCACTTCCACAAATCACTTTCTGGTCAAAGCTTGACACACGAGAATGTTTCTTCACAAAATATGCACCCTGTATCCCTGCAGGAAATAACATGTAATTATATCGTCCAGTTTTCAGGTGGTGATTGACTGATGTAATTGTGGACGGAAAGATACTTCCAGTCTCTGTTCTTCTGCAGCGCACTGGGGAGATCCTCTTACAGGGGGGGGGATATCTGTATCTGTCTAGTAGAGAATCATACCGTTTCACTTCTCCCTGCTCCCATGAGAATGCGCCATAGGACACAGGAGCCAGGCGTCCAGTCGTGCTAATCATTCCTAATGATGGTGAATTGAGGAAGTGTGTAAGCTGAGCCCAGGCAGAAGGAATGCTGGTAGCGGGTGCTGGGAGGTCAGGAACCGCCTGCAGAAAGCAGGGGACTTAGAGATGACTGGAAAATGAGTGAAAGGGTGGCAGAGAAACATGGGAGAAAGCTCCGATCGGAGGAGTGAGGATCGCTAGAGTGAGAGAGCTAGTGCTGAAGAACAGCTTGAGCTTCTCAAGGAGTGACGGGCATGTGGGCTTTCCCCTGTTTCTGCATGTTGACATTTATAAACGCAGCTTTTTATTTCTGTTCAGGTGTTTTGTTTGCAGAAAGTGGTTTCAACCTTTGATCGATTAGTCGCGTGGGTAACTAAATTTTTGCGTCTCTCATTTGAATGCAAAACTAATTTTGATTGGGTCTCCTACTCAGCTAAGAGTGATGGAATTCACTCTTAGCTGAGTGAAAAAGAGTGAAAAAGAATTCAAGTGTTTTTCAACCAGATTTTTTTCTGCTTTACAAAAGAGGAATTCAAAAGTCAAATTACTGGACACATTAATTTTCCCACACCCAGTAATTTGTCCCTATCCAGACCCTGCGTTCTGAATTTCAAGCATGAGAAAGGGGGCATGTGGCTCACTAAAATTCCCGATGGGAATCTCTTTTATTGATGAGTCTGCTGTAAATAATATATGAAGACATTAAAATGCGCAGCTGACTGGACAGATCAGTCTCGGAAGGGCTGACGCTTTCTTCCCAGGCCTTGGTGGTGACCAGGTCAGCAGCAGTTGCTGACTGTTTCTGGGAGAGGAGGTTGTGCAGCTATCTCAGGAAAGGGCATTTAGTACAAGTTTAACTCGGATCCCTCAGACTTCTCCTGTTGTATTGCACCTGCCTTTACAAACCACGGGATCTTCCGAAAGTGATTGACTCTAACATCCAGTTTTGAGTGAGGTCCTACGTGGCTGAGATTGTTTTTCTGTGGGGTGAAACCTCGGGGGAAAAAAATCACTTTAAGAGGCAGTGTACTTAATTTGGACAAAGACTAGACAAATCAAACAATATTTTAATGATTACAGTATGCACTATTTCTATCTGCATGGTAGCAATGCAATACGCATGCAATAGTTGGAAGAATTTGCAGCGATCTCAGGGCTGAAATTAGGAAAGCAGTTTTCATTTGGTTCATTTCAGCAATGCTGTGCAGCCGACCCTAAATGGCTTTTAGAGGCATGTCTGGATTGTCTTGGGAGCGTCACAGGTAGCTGCAGGGGAAACGGGAAAAGTGGAGGCAGTGCCTCTCACTGTTGTGACATGTACACCTGGACAGGTTTGCAAGTTGTTTGCATATAAACGATTCTGCAAAGTGTTTGTTCCTTATCGGAAATACAAATTTGTCTCACGTCCTTTGTTTTGAGATTGCTCCTTTTTTTCTTAATAACTTTCATAAAACTTGTCAGTCTTGTGATTTCACTTATAGAAGGGTGAAGATTAACTGTGATCATTTTCAAAAGCGTGGGAGTGCTGCATGGTTCCCACACATCATTGTAATCCATGCGTTTAGGAAAAACCCTCCAATGAAGGGTGGTAAAGGTGTGTGAACTTTCAAATTCTGCTATTGTACACGACCTATTTAACTTGCATTTCAGTTAAATAATCCGGATAACTTGAATTATCTGAAATCACCTGCTTGTGGTTCTTAACATTAGGTGCTGGAACCTGAGGGACTGGAAAATGAATACATGACATATGAACATTTTTATTTCTGCTGAATGGGAGAGTGATTGCTAGCTACCTGCCTACTGATGCAATTCCCCTTGACCTGATCTTTAAAATAAAATATGGGAGCTGAGCCCAATAAGAGCAGTGCTTTTGACCTCTGTTAATTTGTATTATGCGATAGAATAAGCATCATTTCTCATCTGTAATTTATAGCAGCATTGTTGACAGGCCGCTGAACGCTCTCCGTTATTTCTGTCCAGTCAGAGTCAGTGTATAAAGGTTAATGGAGTCCCCTGTCGTCCCAGTGGATAGATTCTAGCACTCTGTTTAATTTGCTCCCGGCTTTGTTCCCACTGGACTTTGCTTCTGGGCTAGCTGATGGGGTCTGCAGGGCTGCGCTGTGTGTACACTGCCAGTAACAGCAGTTCCATTGATCCCTGGCTGTGCAGCTTGCTCTGTTTACAAGCCTGTGTTTAAGTGGAGACCTTCCTTTCCCATTTATGATTAACTACTGTACATTCTGCTTTGCATTAACTGGGAAACCTGCAAATCTGTAATCCAACGGACAAATCCTATTTATCTGTAGGTGTTATTGAAGCATGACACTTCAGTGATGGATGTCAAAAATAAGCTTTACATTTTTGAAGCGCACCATTCATAACTACTACTACGGCGCCAGTTACAAAGGCATAGTATCTGGCAACCAGTCATCTATGGTGCACATTCGCCATTTTCTGAGGTTTACCAAGAAATGTAAATGTTTTCTTCAAGGAGCACTCTTTAATGGGGAAATAAAATGTACTTCTTAAAATAAAATATCCCAGCTATGGGCACAATTGGTAAGAGCCTGGGCCCTGCAATGAGCAATTAGAAGTGTTTTAGCCAATTTGTTGCCGTTTCAGGAGCGCGTGCGCGAAGGCTGTGTGTGGTGTAGCGTGATTTATGTGCTGCGACTGAGTTATAAGTCGTAAGGCGGCTCCATTTCTGATGGATTGCTCCCCTGAGAGAGAGGGTGGAAAGGGGGTGTGGGTCTTCAGGCCTCCTCTGGAGCCGTCACACTGTAAATCATACCGGTGTCAAACCTTCTTGTGGGCCTGTTGTCCTTGGGACTCTGAAAACCCTTGAGAGTGGAAAGTGCGAGAGGGGTGGGGAATTGCTTCTCTGCCCTTTGCCATCTTAGCAATCGACATACTTCAATGTAAGCATATTGATTTCTGTGCTCAAGGCAAGAAACACCTTCCTTCCTCAGAAACACCCTTAGGTCCGCACTCTTCATTGTGACAGTATTAAGGACGAATATCAATTCAGAACTGGATCAGCTGGGGGCTGAACTGTTGAGGCTTCTTTGTGTTCAGCCACCGGCAGCAGCAGACACCAAGATCTGCAGGCACTGCAGGGAGCTTAGCAATGCCCACCGTCACTTTGCAGCCAATAGTATTAACAGACTGGTCACTGCTGGTCGAGCATATTAGAATGTCTGCCACA